CAGCTTTCTTCTGTTCTTGTCAAGTCCTTCTTCTTACCATTCTACCTACATGAACTACCACAAAATTTACTTCCCCATCTTTCCACGCATGTTTCTACCAGCTACCCTGATCACATCAGACAGACCTCACTTCTAAAGCTTTCCAGAGTCTGTTTCACTCCCATATTCATTCCTAGCACCTGCAGGCAGTAATGTGAGCTCTACCTCTGACTATGGGATCTGATGTCCCAGACCAGTTTACCTGTTTTTGAAGGAAACTCCTTTGTGTCTCCCCCTATTCTTCATTTCTCCTATACCTCTCATGCTGTGAAAGATTTCTCCAGAAACTCTAAAAGATAACTAATGTACTTCCTTAGATTCTTCTTCAAAACTCTTCTCCACTGTGATGTTTACAAACAAAAAAACCCCATACAGTTTAGCCTATTACTATTTAGTCTATTAATAGACTATAATCTATTTTATAATTGACCAGACAAACCAGAAGTGCTTCTCTGTTTCTTTATACCATCCTTTTGCATACATCGTGGTTTGTTTTAGACTGTACTCTCTGGAGCAAAGAGTGTCTTGTCTCCAAGAACACACAAAGACAACACAGAGGAGTCTATGTATGCCTTTGTTATGTGTATTTTTCAACGCTAGAGAAAGTACTTTCATTTTAATTAATGTATTCCACTTGATTCCATTTTGATTTCACTCTATTATTAGATATACAGGAAGTTGAACAGATGTGTATTAGCTTAGCCAATTTATCAGCTTCAGCAAACAAATCAGTCAAGAAAAAAGAAAAGCACTAAAGACCCTTTTGATCTGCACTACTCAAAGCTTCTGCTCAAAGCAGCTGACACAGGAAGGTGGGGAGCAGCTTGCACCACCAAGATTGCTGTGGGCCATGCCTACCAATTCAGACCAAGCATAGCTTTTTCACTTGGTAACAGCACCCTGTTCACCCTGGTTGGCACGAGGCACACCCCACATTACATGACCCAGTCAGGAGGCTAGAAAACTACGAAGTCTTTAAAGCCACAACTTTAGATTGGGATTGAATCTGCCCTTATCTGAAGTTGCTTCTTAAAGGTGTTGACAGTCCACTGCTGATGGGAAGAAAGATTTGAAGTTTCCCACTAATTTAATTACCATCTCAAAAGCAGATTTTCATAAAGATTTTACTTCATGAAGATATTTTTCACAGGCTTCTCTCTCAGGAGCAACAAACTGAAAATCTCAACAGATGTTAGAAAAAAAAGACACGTCATTGGGTTAGTCTCAGAAAAAGGGAAAGTGGAAGGATAAAAGTATTGCCAAGATACCAAGTAAAGCATTTGTAATTCTTTTCATACTGCATTTGTTCCATGGGCAAAGCTGTTAATGAAAGTACTACCAACGAAATAAAACCCTGAAGACTGGTTTTGAGAGGAGAAGTTAACTAGTGTGACAGACAGTCTATGCCCAGGTATATTTCAGCAGATGCTATCATGTGACTGAATTTTGCTCATCAGTTTTGATATGTTGTCAAAGTCACTGACAAGTACTTATCTGCAGAGCGATCTTTTAATTAACTTCTTGTTTCTTTAACATAACTCCACCTGTACTTACAGCTAATGGCCTGTTAAATGAAGTTCAGCACTATCTCAATTTTCAGAATGCATCAATATCCAAAGCCTCTATTACTGCCCTACCTCACTAACTGCTTATTTATTTGTAAGTAAATGACTGACCACTGGTTAATAATAAACACATCAGAATGCTAATAAACCTCGTATTTATAAGATGGCGCCATGCAGGTCTTGCAAATTTTTCCAATTGAACAGACAACAGAAATGAAAAATCTGTCCTGAGGCATGAGTAATTTAAGCAAAACTGGTAATTTATAAAAGCAAGAATGCTTGACAAACATAACCTTTCATCCATGAATGCTGAGTGATGCTATGCAATTTTTTTTTTTCCGAAGTAACTGATGTTTTTCAATACATGTTAAGAACTGCACATAAAGAGCCTACTAGCAGTTTATTTAAGGATCAAATTTGAGCTGGCACAAGACCTCCTCGTTGTCTCTGTATGACTGGAGTGTTTTGAGGTTAAGTAAGGTCGAATCTCATTACACTGGCCAGAAGTAATAAAGACTTGGACCTATTTCAAACATCAGGCACCCATGATTTGCCATTCTAAACAATAAAAAGTTATCATGGTTCCTATGATTGCTTTTTAAAGTTATTAACTGTTAGACACTTTTTTAGACTTATCTCTGTGGTATAAAGAGTTAAGAACTTTAATAGTTTCTCTGTCCTCTCTTCTTTATTCTCCAACTGTTAACAGAAGTATTAGACGTCAGAGGAGACAGGGATGGAAAACAATACACTTTAAAACCATTTGAAAATGCTCAAGCTCGGGACAACCACATAATGCAAAACAGGCAAAAATTCTCTGCAAATATCAATTAATATTTGCTGATACTTTAGAAAAAAATTGCTACTTTTTGTAAGCATCTCCTTTTTCTTTTTTTTTCAGAGAAGAAAAAATAAATCTGATTATAGGAAGGAGCTCTGCAATGTAATGCATATGAATAGTCAGAAATCCTTTTCATATTGCAGAGACTTGGAAGGTCACAGTGCATAGCACCCTCTCCTGAAGTAGCATTCGCTGCTGTTCTATAATGCATTTTCATAACCTGCAACTGGTAAATTTATTAGGCAAATTTTTAATTTTTTTAAAGGGACGGAACAGAAGTTCAAAAATTGCCAAACATGATGAACAAACTAGTGTGAGGTAATGTTTCAGAAACTTTCTGACATTACAGACATTATTAAAAGATGACCATTTGCAGTGACTGTTTTATTGCCCCAGGCAGCAATGCAAGTAGCACTATTTCTCCCAGTTGTTTACTGGATCTGGTTACTGCCCTCAGTTTCTACGTCCGAAGTCCCACTCCTGATAAATCATGACCTACTTAACTGACATCATTATGGGCAGTATTATAGAAAGCTGATTCGAAAGGAATAAAGCACACAATCATTCCTATTGCTCTTTTTAAAATACACTGTAACTTCATTAAACTCATACTACTGACTATTGTAGAGAGTAAAGAAGTAAGAAGGAAAACTGATTTTACTGTTGAGAAATAGCTTCCTTAGAGCTAGCAACTACTTAAACCTCAAATGACTATAAGCTCACAGCAGGTCCAGTTCATTTCAACGTGTAGCTATGTTTTAATTTCCTTAAACCACAGGACATAAGTCACAGTTCCAGTAGTGTCTGGAGTGAGATATTCTGTGCTGATAATGATGCAAAGTTTTATATCCTGGAGTTTCCAAATGCATGGTATGCCACAGGAATTTCACAGAATTGAGAGGATGATGCCCCTTTGCTTGTACAGGGCTAACACCTTCAAAGGCAGCAGTTTAGTTGTCATTTTTGCACTTAAATGAATGCACTCTTTTCTTTCCAAACAACAAGAGTATCTTGAACACCGCTGGCCTCCCAAACCATTTCCCTTCTTCCTCCTACCTTTGTAATTTTTTTCCAATTTCCTCTCACCAATCTAACGATGATTCTAGTTGATGAAGACATGATGGGCTGCCCATTTAAATCTCTCACACATTGAGCGTTTCCCATGGTGATAAATACTCTTTTCAAAGAGCATCCAAGCATGCTCCCCAGTCTACTTCCCACCCCACTGCACGGCTACCTACACAATCCCTAAAGAACATTCTCTATTTGCACAGAACACTTAAGGTAGTAATTCTGCTACTAAAACTTTTTAATCATTATCTATATCTAGAAAGTTATTTAAACCTCATTACTGTAGTGCTTAATAATTACTATCTTAATGTCCAGTTGAGCAACCAAGTCACAGCATAAATGGTAACATGCACAGGATGAGGAAAAGCAAGGAACTCAAGTGGCTTTTCCAGAAGCTTACAATCTTGCTTAAGTGGTCATCTCTCTTCAAATTCCTTTCATTTATCTACATCCTGCCCTTCCAACAGTTAACAGTTAACCAGCTAGTGAATGAAAATTGTATTAAACCACAGCCATGAAAAGTAAAAAGAAAGAAGCAGCTGTTGAAGACTACTCAAACTCAGAGACAGGTAAATTTGTATTTTGATGGCTAGAAACAGACCGTAGTGTTATGTATTCTTGAGCTTAATCACGGACATCTCTGAATAATACCACAACCTTTCTCAATTGTTTTTCAGTGGAGAAAGAGAAAATTTCAAGAGCAGAATATCCAGCATTTTGCAATTCATAAAAAAAGTTAATCAGTTTTTCCTTTCTACCCAAGCACCACACCAAGCATTCTCTAACACAGCTCCCTTAAGGCCTGCAATCGGCCAACAGAGTCAGTAGCTAAAGCAAGTATATGTATTTTTTTCCATTTGATTGCATTCTTTTACAGTATCATTGCTGTATTATGTTCTGGTCAGTAATATTTTCAACCACTCTATGCTGGCATATCACTAAGTACCTATTTTACAGAATGTAAAAATATGTCCCATCTACTTCACGATGTTTAAGGTGTTTCTGCTGTTCATTGTATTCTTCAAATTCACTGACAGATTGTTAAATTAAATCTGCCAGTTTGTTTCTTAACAAAAGCACTTGATGCCTTTAAGCTTCTCCAGCCCTTTCATTCCCTTTCCTGTATTGATTCTAATTTCCTTTCTTTATGCATTCATCTGACTGGAATGTAAGGGAGGAACAATTATTTGATCAGTTTTGTTCATGCACAGAATAACAAATATCATTATCTGAAAAGTAGCAATGTGTGTTAAATTTGAACTACATATAGTCTGTAAAACAGAATGTACTTAAAGTTTGTATTGCTTATTTCATGTTAAAAGATACAACTCTCTATTTGCTAATGCTTGCTGGAGGAGTTGTGAATTTTACACTTTTTATCGTTTACAGATAAGATTTCCATAATGCTTCAGCAGCAGATGATACCAATACCTTATAAAAACAAGGCAGACAATTTATAGGCCCATAATTACTTGTAAACTTACCTGCTTTTACGTCCTGGTTGAATCGACAGTATTTTGAGTGCTCAAGCAGTGGTAGACATTGCTCAATAGGTGTCCAGACATATGTCTCTGGACACAACAAGTCAGAGGGCCTGTACTGACCCTAGAAAGAAGAAAAGAAAAAAAAAAAAAAAAAAAAGAAGAAAAGAAAAAGAGAGTAGTCATATCAGTTGCACAAGAACACTCTGGCTACATCTTCCCAGATTTTTCCTATGAACAAGGAATAGTTTTAATCTAATCTATGCCAAATGAGTCAGAAACAGCTTCATTGAAATCACAGGCTTACTTCTTTATTCCTGAGATGGTGCTGAAATTAATACAAACTTAACCTTGGCACTTGAAGAAAATGTAAAATTAACATACCACATTTTTACAGTATCCAAGATGAACTAGAAAAGTTTTGGCTTTGCTCACTGAAACTCTGTATTTGAGTTATCCTCTAGAGTTCTGCTGAGCTGGTGCCGACACTAAAAAACTCAGCACCTCCAAAAGCAGCTCGTCTCAAGTGTTGGTAATTCTAGCAAATAATGGAGACCAAAAATAATCTAATAGAAAAAAAACCCACTTAACAGTAAGCAGGATGCTATTTTTATCGCATTAGTGATGGAGCATTTTGTTCATTGGTACTTAAATAGTAACATTTTCTTTTTAATTCATGGAGTTTTTCCTGGAATAGCTTACAGGTAATGAATAGTGAAATGCTACCACTTTTTGTTGATTTATTAAAGAGATATTCTTTGCAGACATTCCCAGAAACTAAACAGCCATAATTATTTTCCCTTCAGCTATGCAGAAAATCACCACCTCAGCAATAATAATCTCCTCTAATCAGATAGTCATTTGATTTAAAATAAGATTATTCACGGGCTTATAACTTAAGTAAAAAATCTATCTTTGAGCTATTATTCACTTAATCCATACCGTCTCAACATTCAGAGCCATATGGTAGCAATATCAAATTGATTTTTAAGCTGAAAATTTATTTCACATTATCAGCTTGAAAAACAGACATACAGTAAATAGAATGAAAAAGTTTAAGGATCTCAATTATACAGGTCTTGAGGCAACAGTTAAAAGACAGCATTGTATGAAGTCACACTGCAGTTGGTACAATTAAGAGTTCTTCATATCAATTACTTTAAATAAGTAATGAAGATGATCACCTTGATATGAAGTTGATTTTTTTTCTAACATCTACTACAAAAAAAGGCAAACTGGCCTTGAATGAAGCTGCCCAATGTTTGGGAAAGGACATAGATATTTACTGTGACTACAGTCTATTTTTTACACATTTTTAAAAGTTACATTCACAAGCTCTGCTATTCTTCTTTTAGACACACCCTTATGCAGCAGCTCCCAATTTTGGAAAATGAGAAGAACCATTTTTTGAATGTTTGCAGATTCCCAATTCTTTTTATTCTCTTACTGTTCAACTCTTCACAATATTTACAGGAGAATTAACTTTTTTTATTATGTATTTCCCATCAACTGTAAATTATTGAGTAAGAAATACAAAAATTACCTCTGATAAAAACAGCCATAACTGTCCACTTAAAAAAAAACCAAACACAAAAAAAACCCCACAACCACCAAGTTTCATGCTGAACCTTGTCAAATACCTGATGTATCTTTCCAAAATGGGTCTATATGACTCTGATTTTCTCATTTGAAAAACACTCATGATTGACTTGTAACTACTGTTGTTGGTTTAGTGGGGTTTTTTTTAATTAAATGCAAATTTTTGTATTAAATTAAAACAATATCCCTCCACTTCCATGCAGAACCTTAAACCGCAAGGCCTTATAAAATCCTCTAAAGCCAGAGAATGGAAATGACATTATTAAATAAACCACTTTGAAATGTTACGCTATCTAAACAGAAGTAGTTGAAAGGTATGTGAAAGTAATGCTTAAAGAACACTTTTAGTCACCATTACTCAGATAAACAATTTAAGGACTTGGGGAAAAACATAAGCCTTTTCAGTCAGATTTTAAAAAATAAATAAATAAATAAATAAAGAACATAATTACTTGTTGATTTAAAGACATTTTCTCAACTGGCCAAGAAGGCAGAAATAGCCAAGTAACCATCTTTCAGAGCTGTCGCTTAGGCACAGAAATTACAAGGTGGCAATTTAGTCTTTCCTAGTAGCATGGGTATACTCGTGGCTGTAAGTAAAGATTGCTCAACCACTTACAGTTTTCCTATAAGATACTGCCCCCCTACATCTTGAAATGTATCACATTTGTGAATCCCACACGTGAAAATCATATCACTATGCAGCCCTATTCTAAATTTCCCAATTAATTCTACAATGTCATATTCTGTCATAAAATGGGATGTATAAAATTAACTGCATTGCTGCATTACTAGTTTGGTTATAAGAAAAAAGAGTTTCTTTAGTACTGAGCAAAACAGTAATGGGAAAAATTGATTATCCGATCCATCACTGTAGATTCAGTATTTATTTTGGGTGTCGAAATACCCTACCTAGAAGAGAAAAAAGAAATAGCTCTGAGGTGACCTCCTTTAGATGTTTTCTTCCCCCCAAATTTAGACTCTTGTTACTAAACTTCCCTGAAGATATGTGAGGCTGAGGTGATGAGACATCACTGGCCAGTAACACACAATGTAATTAGAGGTAAAAATTAAACAAGCCATTGATGCTCTTCAATATCCTCCCTTTCTAAAAGTATTTCCAAAAATACTAGAAGATACTTCTCACGTAAAGGCATTTTATTTACACTACTGGTTAAACCCATATCCCATGACTCATTTCATGGAGGAAATGGGAACACAGAGACATACTGAGGCGAATTTCCCAATGAACAGCATTGGCACTGTGTCTGTATTGACAGAATTAAAAAGGGAATCCACAGAATTTCTTAAATCAATGCAATAATTTCTAAGGGCTTTTGCCTTTTTTTTTCCCCCCTCCCCTAAGCACTTACTCTCAATTTACTTACTTTCTTAAAAACGTTTAAAACCTCAATATGAAAATAAACAACTATGAATCCATCTCACTTTTTTTTTTTTCCCTCTCTCTCCTTATTCCTGGACTGTGAAAAAATGTGAACCTGAGAACCCAGCCAGATTCTGCCTCATGTACAGGAGCACCTGTACTTCAAGAAAAATATTCAAATTTCATTATTCACTCTAAAATGATTACATCATCTAAAAAATTGCCTCTAAGCATACTATTTATATTCCTTCTTATTCTTAATATTGCTGATTTGCAGTATACATACAACATAAATCCAAAATAGAAAGGGGATCTCCTGAAGTGAACTGCTGCAGAGCTATTTATCACAGTAGAACTTCATCAGATTTGCAAAACTGGTTTTGAAAATCATTTCTCTTTGGCTTCAGATTAAATTAGCACACATTTCAGAAGTAATTCTGTCTATGGTAAAATTCCACAACTGAAAACATTTTGCTTTCTTTTATGTCATAATATAAAAGCTCCTGCACAGTAGCACTGTTTATGCTGTCCAGACCATCTTGGGAATACTTAACTACAAGACTTTCAACAAAATGTATCATGTTACAGACCATCCCTAAGCACTTGTCTTACATTTCAGCTTCTTAAATCCAATACCACCTGCTGATGAAATGCACTCTGTCAATATACAACTGCCCATATGTCTGTCATCTACATTTTGTTGAGAAATATCCAACAAGACATAAAATGTGCTATTTTGAAATGTTTTTGGAAATAAAAAAATGCATTTGCCTAAAATTTCATTACTTTTGATGCTGTGTAAAATTTTCATGGACATCCACAAACACCCTTCTTGAGGCAGAATATTAACACATTTTGAGCTGTTATAACAGCCACTGCAGATCATACCAGATGTCCATGGTACAGTCAAATATCCCATCTCTGACTGACATTGATAGGAAATACTCAGTGAAGACCAAAAGAACAGTATAACCATATAGTGTTACTCTGCCAATATTCTCTTGACCTCCAACAGTTTGCAGCACAGATCCCTCCACAACCAAGTAACTTCAGTAATAATGCGTTTTGCCATTCAAGAATCCTAAACAACTGCTTTGATTTACTTCAATCTGCAAACTGTAGTTTTGTTTGATGACCATTCCTACTTCTATTACAGAAATGCAGTGAACAATCGTTGCCTTATCACCATGCAACTTATGATGTTACAGACAAATATGGTACCTCCATCAGTCTGAAGGGACCTAAATTCTTTAACGCATCCTCTTACATAACTATCCTAGTCAATCTGTCCTCTTCCCAATTTTGTTTTCTCTCCTTTGAAACGGGAAAGGGCCACAGGGGGAACGCATCCAAACTGCATTGTTCAAGGAGCAGGAGAGCACAAGGTATAATAAAGACATAAAGAAAACCAAAAGAAAATAATTGCATCTTTATAAATATCTGACTAATCTATCAAATGGCTTGATTAAAAAGCAATACTGAAAATTAGCATAGCTAAGAAATTCCTGAGTATGTGGTTTCTTCTACCAAGTCAACTCATTGCAATATAAATGTGACTGTTTCATAAAAAAATACCTCCAAGACATTTTATTCTCACTAATGTTTGGGGCATTTTTCCTCCCATATAATATAAAAGAAAGAGTCTTTAAGGTGCTTTCCCTTATACTATTAAGCATGCTGCATTTTAATTGGAAGCTTCTGGAAATAAATTTTACATTGAGGCTGCCAAGCCTAAATTAATACTTCACACCATGAAATTTTTTGTTTTACAGTTTCCAAGTCAGAATCGACCAGAACTACTCTGAACTTTTGTTCCACAGGAAGGGCAAATGTTTTAATGAGACTTTAGTCTCGAGATTACTTTTTAAATATTTTGTAAAATCTGAGGGATTTGGTAAGCACTTCAGATGAAAAACACCAGCGGAGTTTGTTTTTGTAGCCTAAGTAAAATTTAAAATGTGAAACTACGAAGAAAGAGAATAGTCTCGAAAACGAAGAAGGTCAAGCACCAGTAGCACTGAAAAAACAAAATAGGAAGGTTAAACACACATTTAATTCTTTTATCAGGTACAGTTTACATCTGTATTCTATTTTTTCACAATAAACCCATTGATCTTTTATTAAAAGTGAATTAAGACTGC